GGGGAGGAGTTATTAGGGTTATTAGCCTGCTGACAAGGCTTGTGATGTAAACTGCTACTGTCAGTGCAAAACAGTACACAGTTAATCAGTGATCCCATCGATATGAACATTGGAGTGCTGTTCCAGATTCTGAACAAACTACAGAGGTCTCAGCAACACATGACAGAGAAATTACAGACTTGTACACCTCCTCCAACCAGTCAATTCATGGGACAGGCATAAGGTCACTGACCTTTATCTTTTACCACCAAAATGTAATCAGGTCATCCTTGAATCCAAGTGGATATTTGTGCCAAATTTGAAAAGTTTCTCAAGATGTTCCTGATACAAGAATGGGACAGACAACCCAAAAGCATAATGCTCCGGCACAGAGAGATGAAAGTGGGTGAGACTATTGCCTACTACCTTTTTTATTTTTTAAGATTTTAATTTCATTTTCACATGAAGTAACTCACAAGCTTTGTGTGTATCCATACAATAATATCTTGGGGTTGATGCTTACACAAGAGTATGCAAACCTGTCATTAGTAATACTACAGTAGCATTAATGTATTTAATTAGTGATGAGTAATCTGTAAATGTATCTTTACACCATAAAATTTTAAAAACAATAGGGCGACTGTCAAGAAGGGACAAGCTATATACATTCTGCTTTCATCCCAGCACACACAGCAGGGAAGCTGCAGAGAACATGTAAAGAGTGTCCAAATACCTGTCACTATATCATTTATGTGTTTTCACAAAATACCAGACAAACTTGTATTTCTCTCTCTTTTACTGTATTTCCTTTCAGATATTGCAAAGACTGTGATTTCATCTGTATTTATGGCATTTTCCTGCTCTTTCATGTGGACATAGCTCATTAAGGATGTCTATACAAATCTGGGCCTCTTTTGGTTTTTACTGATAAATATGCCTTGCACTGAGCATTTATAATGTGCTTCTCCTCATGTTGTTCAATTCAATTCATTATTCAATCTGTGTGAGAATAATACAGAGACGCTACCATGTGGGTAAGCCTTATTACAACACCATTATCCCATTAGCAAGCCTCTCAACTGAATTTGTTGACTGTGGATGAAAGAGAAATATTAAGGCCCTCATGAATAGAACTGGCACTATTTTAACTGAGTGCAAGACAGCTGAATGATACACTTTACACAAGAAATAAGCGAGGGAATGAAGAAACACTGCAAATAATGAAGGTACTGAAACTGTCTGGAATAATGAGTCTTTTGATGGGAGGATACACTATCGTTTGTTGTCAGCCGCAGCCCTCAGACACAGGCGCTATTCACAGATACCATCATTTCATTCAACCTGTCTATTCATATTCAGAAGACCCGAGAGGCAAAAAGAACAGGGAACATGTGTATGAAGTAGAATATGCAGGAGCGTCATTGTCTGTAAGAACCCAAAATCTTTTTCAAATGCATTCTCTGCCAAAATTACTGCGATATCAGAATGTAATAAGACAGATAGGCAGTACATTAAAACTCAGAGAATAAACAGGTCACATCTGACATCCACACAGGCGTGCTTGAATAGCCTAAATACGGTAATGTGAAGGTTTTGATCATCTAAGGCACAGCACAGCAACAAACTCTCACTGCTTTGATATCTATGTATTGGAAAAGCCATACATCAGATAAAATGAGCATAGCAGAGCATTGGCTTATAAACTGAGAGGTGATCCTCCTGCTACGAGTCTCACAGATGGTCCAGGACTGGAGAGAGAGGACGACTCTCCATCCTTGTGAAGCCTATAGCGCTGCAAGCAGTTAATGAAAATGAATGGCCTCATCCATTCCACTTGATTGCCAGAGCTGCTTTCATCAATACATCTAATAAAGCAGTCTCACCTCCTACTGAGGACAGAATGGACCTGTGATATAAAAACAATGAAAGAGTTTTCTTATCTGCAGAACTAGTCTGTTTTTCAACATGGTGAAGCAATTTATCTAGACCAAGGAAGCATGATGAATCATATTGGACTCCAGTAAAGCAGTCCAATATGAAGTAAAGAGTGAGTTGAGTCATTAAGCTTGAAAATACTTCAAATTTCATAATTTTACCATGAAAATATCCTGCTTCAAATTTATTCGCTCAACTCCTGTACAAACATAAAGTTTATGGATAAACCTTCATACATTATATCCAGTTGTAGACTTGGATAATAAAAATATAATAAATATTAGGCCTAATTTGGTTTAATTAAGACAAAGCTATGCATCTATTAGCTCACTGGCAAAATATTTTAATCATTAATTCAGGCCTTGGATCTGCTGAACATTTTCCTGAATGTTTACTACAAGAGGGTCCGCGAGCAGAGAAGCCTGCTTTCATCGCCTTCTACAGGAAATCCTACTTAAGATGAAACACAGAGGCTGAATTATCTCGTTCCATGGTAAGCTCATTCTCATGCTTTAGTACAGAAGCACAATCTAAATGCAAATTGCTGGATGATTTTATTGTAACTTTGTCCTTGGGCATTATGAGGAGAATTTAATAGGTTAAAGGTTATTTTATTGCAGTGAGGAGTAATCGGTGTCCTCCCTGTTGTTCTGGTATGTCAGCCAAGTCAGAGACAAACTATCAAAATGATCATGGACCCCTTTCTATATGGTCTAAGCAATCATTGGTGTGATCCAACAATACAAGCACAGCCACTATGACTCACTACACATAATATGTACAAATTCACCAGCTCCATGTTTTTCACAGTGCTTGCTGATTGAATTTTTAGTCCTTAGTCTTTTCTGGATGGATGTTAGAACTTTTTCATAATTGTAAAGCTACTCTTTTTAATTTCTTTTCAGTTGCTAGTGGGTCCAGTGACATTCAAAACAAACTGACATGATAGACAGCTACTATCCACCATTTACTCCTCTCATCACGCCCTGTTTCCCAGCAACACCATATAGTACAGACACCTGGCTGCGACGAGCTGTACAAAACGTAGCCTCTAGTCCGAAGTCAGTGTTAGCTGACTGAAATTCTAGTACAATGTTCTGGTTACTGCTAATGTGACACAAAAGACTAGCATTACACAAAGCTTGAAATATGTCTGAATTAAAATCAGAAAATATTGAATTTGTGTTAGACCTGATTGAAAGAAACAGGTGACTTACTGCTGACATGAATTGATATTCATATTTAATAAATTGTCTGTAGAATAGTCACAGTTTCCTTTTATTTTTTGTAAAACTGGCTCTGTAAAATAAGTTTCCAGTCTTATCCGAGCACGCCTGTTGTTGGTTAAAGTACTTGTCCTGACTCATTCAAGTTAATTACCTTTTTGATCAATAAGTGGCTTTAACCTTTGTGACCTCTGTATTGTTGTGATTCCATTTCAGTTAAACTGGGGAATATAAACTCATTTAAGGTAATGGTAATTACTGTCCACAATATTTAGAAAATTGATTTCCTCTACCACCTAAATGTTTTGCCTAATTACGCCTCAACAAAGGCTAAAGGTTAAATATTCAGTAATTGTACTCCAACAGGAAAAATGCAACAAACAATCTCAGAAGAAAACATTTTCATTGGTCACATGCTCAGAAACTGACAAAATGAACACATATCTGTATGCTTGCCTTCTAAAATGTCTAACTTTCAAGTGTAAATTAATTCCACTTCATCCCCAAAGATTGAATTAAGTTAACTTTCAGATCAACAGCATCTCAGACTCCATTTAGAAAGGTTGGCAATACATGTTCAGATCAATTCCTCTTCCCCAAACCCCCTTGAAATAATTATTCTGACTTTTATGGGCAAATCTATATTAAGAATTGAATTATCATGGTTTAAGCTGCAGAGGTACTGATGCACACTGCCAAAGTAGAGCTTGCATGAAAAACAAACCAAAAAAATGCCAGACATTTCAAGAAAAGATAATATATGGATTTAAAAACTTCGCAAGTAGGCAAACTATTATCCTGCACAAGTCTTACAGTCAGGTGCATTGGATCAAAGTCCTTCACTGATGAAGTGATGTTGTATGAAGAAATTGGTTACTGGTGGTTCCTTGGCTGCTGTTTCGTGTTCCTGGGGTAATCGAATTCACTTCCTGTTTACTTTGTCTGCACCGTGTTGTGCTTGCTACCAGATTGTTTACAGATTAAGCTCACTAATTTCTAGGGTTATCTGATCATCAGCTAATTTTTCCTCTACAATAATAATAATAATAATAATAATAATAATGTCTAGACCTTACTTTGTAAAGTGTCCTGAGATGGCCTTTGTTGTGATCTGGCACTATACAAATAAAATTTAATTGCAATTTAATTATTTCATAAGCTGAAAAGCTAACTGGGTCAGTTGATTAAGTGTAAGTAAGACAAGTTATCTAAAGACATGAAGTAACCCTTATGACAGTATACATTTCTAACAACTAAATTCTTATGAGTAGTGTGTTCAGTTGCATTGTACTGCAACAAATTGCATAATATTCAAATGCTCACACTATGCACATATACACATCAGTACTAAATACCGAAAAGACTGAACACACACACACACACAAAACATTCACAGATCTAAAAGTTTACATTCACATCAAATAATATCAATGTATGCATCAAATATTTGACTGACACACTCTTTTCTAGATGCTTTGCATTCAAAAGACAGCCCATAAGGATTACAGGATTCTAATTAGCCACTAAAAATAAGTCAGTATAGAGTTCATCTTAAAAACAAAAGAATAAACAACTTCTAAAAACCAAACAGCAAACCTTCTGCTCTGGCCCATTCCCAAACCACACACATTCAACAGCTGACTGGACAAACAATAAAATACATAAGTGGACAAATTCCAAATGATTAAAAGCCATATTGATCTGTGTTGACAGCTAGCTACTGTAACAACAGTGGCAAACAATACAGCAAGTTAAATATATCAACCGCATCAGTAATAGCCCAGCAGGGAGTTAAATACAGCCACAGAGAGACATTAAATCAAAGTAAAGACAAACACAAGAAGCATGTAAAGGACTCACGCTGGTTGATATCAATGTCCATTCTTTTGTCCATGAAGACGTTGTGGTGGTCAAACTCCTCTTCATCAGTCTCCTAATGCTGCGTGCGAAAAAAAACCCTAAACGAGCCAACTCGGTTGTTTCTGTAAGTTATGTTAACTTTCCATCATTTGCTCAGAGGCCAAAGAATGACTGCTTTTACAATGCACTTTACAGTTTGCAGATAGTAGTATATTCACAGTGAAGCGTTGGCATAACACAACAATAAGATAACGCCTCATTGTTTGTTTCTTGCTGCGTTTAGTTAATCAACATAATCATTTACACCTCACCTGCCTTTCTTTCATTAAGGGTGCAATTCCCTTTCTGACCACAAACTGGCTGGCAGTTACATTCAGCTACAACCCAGAGGGGCGCTGTTTCACTCATCCGAGAAGCCTCAAAAGTACCTGAGATATGGCTAAGACAATAAAATAGTAAGTCTGAGGGCGATTGAGATATTTTCTTAAGCTGAATGTGGTTGCCATTTTTCGATATTTTAAGTGTGTGGACAATATAAATCATAGGATCATAAGAGAAATGTCATCAACATGTAACTTATATGCTTGACTATGCAACCAATCAAGGTTAATGTGAGACAGGTTTTCAGCTGATCCAGTAGCTTGATGGTGCTTTCCACAGCTATAGAGTGGGGCAAGAAGGATGTATGAATATACAGGTGCTGGTCATATAATTAGAATATCATCAAAAAGTTGATTTATTTCATTAATTCCATTCAAAAAGTGAAACTTGTATATTATATCCATTCATTACACACAGACTGATATATTTCAAATGTTTATTTCTTTTAATTTTGATGATTATAACTGACAACCAATGAAAACCCCAAATTCGATATCTCAGAAAATTAGAATATTGTGAAAAGGTTCAATATTGAAGACACCTGGTGCCACACTCTAATCAGCTATTTGACTCAAAACACCTGCAAAGGCCTTTAAATGGTGTTTCAGGCTAGTTCTGTAGGCTACACAATCATGGGGAAGACTGCTGACCTGACAGTTGTCCAAAAGACGACCATTGACACCTTGCACAAGGAGGGCAAGACACAAAAGGTCATGGCAGAAGAGGCTGGCTGTTCACAGAGCTCTGTGTCCAAGCACATTAATAGAGAGGCAAAGGGAAGGAAAAGATGTGGTAGAAAAAAGTGTACTAAAAGTGTAATAGGGATAACCGCACCCTGGAGAGGATTGTGAAACAAAACCGATTCAAAAATGTGGGGGAGATTCACAAAGAGTGGACTGCAGCTGGAGTCAGTGCTTCAAGAACCACTACGCACAGACGTATGAAAGACATGGGTTTCAGCTGTCGCATTCCTTGTGTCAAGCCACTCTTGAACAACAGACAGCGTCAGAAGCGTCTCACCTGGGCTAAAGACAAAAAGGACTGGACTGCTGCTGAGTGGTCCAAAGTCATGTTCTCTGATGAAAGTAAATTTTGCATTACCTTTGGAAATCAGGGTCCCAGAGTCTGGAGGAAGAGAGGAGAGGCACAGAATCCACGTTGCTTGAGGTCCAGTGTAAAGTTTCCACAGTCAGTGATGGTTTGGGGTGCCATGTCATCTGCTGGTGTTGGGCCACTGTGTTTTCTGAGGTCCAAGGTCAATGCAGCCGTATACCAGGAAGTTTTAGAGCACTTCATGCTTCCTGCTGCTGACCAACTTTATGGAGATGCAGATTTCATTTTCCAACAGGACTTGGCACCTGCACACAGTGCCAAACCTACCAGTACCTGGTTTAAGGACCATGGTATCCCTGTTCTTAAGTGGCCAGCAAACTCGCCTGACCTTAACCCCATAGAAAATCTATGGGGTATTGTGAAGAGGAAGATGCGATATGCCAGACCCAACAATGCAGAAGAGCTGAAGGCCACTATCAGAGCAACCTGGGCTCTCGTAACACCTGAGCAGTGCCACAGACTGATCGACTCCATGCCACGCCGCATTGCTGCAGTAATTCAGGCAAAAGGAGCCCCAACTAAGTATTGAGTGCTGTACATGCTCATACTTTTCATGTTCATACTTTTCAGTTGGCCAAGATTTCTAAAAATCCTTTCTTTGTATTGGTATTCAGTAATATTCTAATTTTCTGAGATACCGAATTTGGGGTTTTCATTGGTTGTCAGTTATAATCATCACAATTAAAAGAAATAAACATTTGAAATATATCAGTCTGTGTGTAATGAATGAATATAATATACAAGTTTCACTTTTTGAATGGAATTAGTGAAATAAATCAACTTTTTGATGATATTCTAATTATATGACCAGCACCTGTACATAAATAGGACATGCTCATGATTACATACACACATAGACACACTAGGAATTGATGAATAGTTTCTTCAAACAGTCCACAGAGAGAAATTCTACATCAGGGACCTTGCAAGTAACTAAATACATTTACTCAGGTCCTTTACATTACTTAAGTATGTCCACTGTATACTACTTTGTACTTGTATTCTATTACAATTTTATTTTTACCTTATTAAAGCAAAAAAGCACAAGACTTGAGCATTTTATAGGGCTTATAACTATTGTCAGACCCTTCAGTCTATCACTGCCTGTCACAATCTTAAAGATGTTTAAATACCTAATTAGGCAGTGACCACTGCTAAGCACTTACAAGTGAGAAATGAGTATGGAAATGCCAAAGCCCAAGAGTAGCTTCATTTATATTCCCCTTTTAATGACTTTGGAGGTGAACATTTTTAAACAAGTCTTCCAACCTGAATTACCATTCAGGCCATACTACATAAGTCATTAACCCTTTTATTATGTGACAATGCTATAGTAAAGAAAAGTTATAGCTTAGACTAAAGGAGGGTGTGCTCAGCTGCTCAAGACATTCATAAACTCTCAAAAACAGGCAAGCAAAAATGCTTCCAAAAAGCAGGAGCAGACTTTATTCCAGACATTAAGCTGATGTTTGGGCAACCATTTGCCTGCCTTGGAGCTTAAGGTAGGTACTTTATTGATCCCACAGTGGGGAAATTTCTTAAAATGCTGTAATAAAGGTTTGGTTAGGTTTAGACATAAAGAGATAAACAACTTGGCTGGGTTTAGAGAGAGAGCATAGTTTGGGTGGAAAAAAAAGTACTTTATTAAGATTAAACTTGGTCACTTGTTATAAGATGATAGCCCCTTAAAAAAAGGTTTGAAACAGACTATCCAAATTTTTTCTTGCATTCAAGAGTATCAGTATGAGGCTGACCTTTGTTCCACATTGTAGTCTTGAAGAAAACAGTCTGATTTTGAAATGTCGTAAATGTAAATCCTTTTCTATTATTCAGCTTTTTGCTCATAAAAGTGGACATGTGCTGGTGAATATTTTACTGTTGCAAGTGTTTAGGCTTATCATTAAACTAGCACAAACGAATCAAAACTAATATTTCAGCAGTGAATTTTAAGTTGGATTAAAGTCTGGCAATTCGTTCAGAAGCGTTGTCCTCTATTGTAGGTTGCAGGAGTTACAGTAGACCATTTAAAGTTTGTGCTGTGCTAAATGTTGTAGGACATACTACTGTATGAACATGTCCCTCCCTGAATGCTATACCCAAGCTCTGTATGCTGAATCTATTTTTCTGAGGAGCCATTTGCTTGCAGCTTCATTATTTTATGAGCATTTTTTCCAGATATTCCACACAGACATTAAATGGTTCTGTCTTTTAATATGTCAGTTTTGTCTCCTGTTGAGATTTTTAAAATGTATTCACCAAGCTTCTACCCTCATTGTAGCATGACTGAGAGGAAGCAATGCTGAAAGTACAAAAGAGGTACAAAAGGTTGTCTGGCTAGGAGGCATTTGTACCAAGATAACACATTTCATTTTTTTCTACTTTGCAACACTCTTTGCAGCACTTGCTGAATATATCTAAAAGGGGAAAAAATATATCTTATAAAGCAAGTCACAAGTTTAGCTTGAGACTGTGTTTTGCTGCAAGGCAGTATTTTTATTGATTAACAGTAGGCTAAACAGATGAGAAGGATTTTATTGCAGCAAAATGAAGTCTTGGAGATTTCATTTAAGAACACCAAACTACACTGGATTTAAAATGTAAAACAAAATACAAGTTACAATCAAAGAAATGGATATGAACATTGTTCCGTTACTGACAGAAGAGTGTGGATATTACCAGTAGGGAAACTAGACTGGTTAGTGTTTTTGGCTTCTGCAAAAACATCATCAACATGGCTGGACTTTTCTCTAAGAACATTTCTCGTCTTCATGTGGATGTCACCCAGCAGCTACATTAAATGTGTTTGTCTGCTTTTCTGCAAACCCTTTGATGGACAGGTGACTTGTCCAAGGTGGCTCCCTATTTGCTGCCAATGTATTTGTGGATGCGTTCTTCAGAAATTAAGCCTGGAGAAAGTCTGTATTTTTATGATTGTCAGTAAATCCCATAAGACCAAAACCAAAAATGCACTAAAATGCACTAATCCTATAATACTGATGTCCACAAAATAGTAAAAACACATCAAGAGATACACATTTCGTTGGATGATGCAGTCCTTCTTTAATAGGAAGACTGGCATTGTGACAATCCCACATACTCTACACTGTCCTGCTGCTAAATAAAGTACCAAATAGTATCACTCTGCAGCTGAAAATAGTCCTCAACGACTACATTATGTGCTCCTGTTTGCTCTTGAAATATTTGCTAAAAACTACAGTGCTCAGCTGTTTTAGCATATTATTTTGGCTGGCTCAAACTGAAAAGTAACACATTGCAGTTTTGCTCTGTTTATGGGATTCCTTGACAATATGAAAAATATAGAATATTGCCAGCCTTATCTTTTGACACAAAAAAGAACATGTAGAATTTCTTTTAGCTCTATAGTAGTAGCCTTCAGGTGCTTTTCAATTGACTTTTTGCAAGTATATTTTAAGCTAAAAGAAGAGACAGCATAGCTCGGTGCTGCACAAAGTCAGCCAGTGAAATTTTCTCTGCATACTAACTACAGTGTGATGAAGCAGCTACATAAAGTTTGCATCGCATTATTGTAAATAAGGCATTACTGCAAATAAGGCATTACTGCCTCAGTCACATTATAATCACATATCTGGGTACTGTACACACACATCCACCACACTACCATCTGATGCTGACCAAAGTACTGATCAGCCACCACCAAGGGAGAGTTTCATTCAACATCTATGCATGACGTTGTCACAGGCTACAGGAGTGGCCAGAAGCAAAGAGAGAGAGATAATGTTTGTTATTTGTATTCACTGTGTAGAGTGGTGAAAACATGAGATGCAGCCTCTGATGAGTGCATTTCTCCTGGGACACCAACACCTGAAAAAGAATGATACACCCTGACAGGAGTGGTTTCTGTAATGCAACTCTGTCACAACAATGACAAAACAATGTTATTTTAAATGAAAGGGATTATAGCTTTTAGTCATTGCTAGTAAATACCCAGAAATCAGCATGAGTAGAATAAAAAAATGTGTGGATTATCTTTTTAGTATCTTTTCATCCACTACAAAATGTGAGTGGACTGAGCAGTATAAGTAATGGTTACAGTTAAAAGATGATCATAATTATCATTTTATTCTAAACTTAACATTTACATAACTCCATTTGCTCCTCATTGGATTCATGAATAATGTAAGGGTTAAAAAAAAGGCAGTGTAAGACTGAAATATGGTACATAAGGTTTAACATACTAATAAAGACTCCACTGTTGAGTATCATCCAGCTCTGTCTATCACTGGCCTCATGTTAGCCGTGCATTCTCTGCATGTCACGCTTTTATCCTAGTTGATAGAAAGATCATATTATATCAGTTGAATTATTTCATCTTAACTTGTGTGTTGCTCCATTACAGCTATCACTTGGAGTCAGGGAACTATCACAACAGGGTGCCATGGAAGATTAAATGGGACAATGCTCTTTGTGGACAAGCCATTTAAATGCCAGGCAATATAATTATGATTAGGAGAAGGCATCTCCCTAAGATGTTAATTGAATTAGGAATTTGGATAGAACCCTGAAGCTCAAGATAAATATGTGATGATTCACATCCATGCCTGTTGTTGAGGAGGGCACATGCTTGTTTTAATTTGATCTAAAGCATCGAGACGTTATGTAGATAGTCCCACTGAGCTGTTCTGTCCCCATCTCCTCACATTTACACATTATTTACACGTTTTCTAATGAAATTAAAGGAAAGTTCAATGGCAAGAAAGGTTGTTCATGGTGATAACATGAAGCCAAATGATACTTTTATGACTTTCTGCTCCAGTGCTCACAAGTGTTGCTCATTAGAAATCAGAACAGGAAAGACTGCAGCAGAAACACTACAGACAGCGCTGCTACACTATAATCACGGTGTGCCATCATTTCATAATGCATGGCAAGCCTATCTAGGCTGACACCTGGAATATGATGAGTGCTTCTTTAATCTAAATTTCACTGAATGCACATTTAGTTTATTAAGGCCCAGTGAGGTTTCCTCTTATAATTGAGGACTTCATCTTTCACCAGCAAACTTGACCATTACTGGTTTGTGATGAGAATGATCATGTGGCCTAACAAAGATCTAGTACAGATTATCAAATAATATTTACCAGCAAGGGAGATCAATGCAAACAGGGGCTGCTTGTTTTCATTACAAAATGTCTGTGTGCACAAATCAGCTTTACACAAATAAACCACCACACAAGGGTGCCATTTAAACCGCTGTGCCAAACATCCTGAAAACAACTTACCTTCCTAATTTTCCCTGATGCACAAAAAGTGAAAAAGCTGGTATTTATGGTGTGGTGCTAGAATGAAATACTTAACTTAAGGTTTTAGGTTTAAACAAAAGGATGGATATTCTCTTATTGACAGCATTATTTTAAAATAATATTGCATGCGGATAGTCAAGCAAAATTCAGTATAAGCCTCCACCCCAGTATAAGAATTCTAAAAATGCTGTTATGAATTTTTCCACTCAAAATCAGGGCACTATAAAATAAGGTCAGAATGCAATTTCAGCCCCTCTGCAGCCTGCTCAGGAGCATAATTAGATGAGGACCACAATAAAAAAAGCCTTGCCAAAGGAATTGGTTTTACTGTCATAGAACCATCTGTGTCACCACTATAAGGATGCAGCTGTCAACAGGTGCCTCCTTTTTATCCAACTATTATTTATATTTGTATATAGTTTTTTGCCTGATGGAATAACTACTTTAGTCACTCATCAATGGAAATGTTAGATTATGCATTTAGGAGATGAACCCGTATGAGTTCTATATGAGTTCATATTAAAACACCTACAGATGGTGTGAGAAATTAAAGGGAAAGCAAAATATGACAATGTTCCCATCCACAGGGCATGAGGGGGTCACTGAAGGGTTTGATGAGTATGAAAATAATGTGAATCATATGCTATAGCCGTCACAGTTACCAGTAGCTAGAGTCAGTATTTATGTCGGTTTTTCCTTTAATTTGTCACCCGTCTGTGATCTTAGCCACAATAATGGCACAATGTTTGTAGGATAATTATTTGAGAAGCCTGGATTATTCTCCTATTTCACACAGTTGATCTTCAAAGAGGATTAGGACCTAATCTTATTAAATTGTCATTCACATCTTATATAAAGTTGGAGCCCTTCAGTAAAATAAATCTAATCTTTATTAGTACTGTCAAATATTAGCTGCATTCTGCATACATCTGTTTATGTACATTGTGCCATCCCAAATGTTTAGAATAAGGTCACATACAATCTATCATTTGTATTAACTACTGACCCATTAATATTCCAGGTCTGAAGATAAGCAATCACCCAGCTGATATTTTAATTTCAAGTAACAGTTGTAAAGAGTGCTACTGCAACAAAAGTAATAAGCACTAAGTGTAAATGGTTCACTCACTGTAACAGAATTGATGCCACGTCCCAGCAGCCAATTGATTTCTCTTGAACACCTCTATAGGTGGAATACTCTGTGAATGGAACGCTGAATGGCAAAAAGAAATCCATGAATGCACAAAAGGCATAATAAAATAGAATTAAAGAAGACTCTTAAGGCACATACCATTTGCTCTAGGTCTCATGACAATAACCATTCCCCCTTTAATTGAAATCAGGATATTCTCTAGTCACGATGGACACTTTTTCAAACAAAGCCAGTGTTGTCTCTCTTCTTGTTACTTTTCCTGACACAGTAACAGCTGCTCAGTTTTAAAGTTCTCTAACTTTACTGTAATGGCTCCTTCTCTGTGAAACTAATGTCTTACTCTTAATATTAGAGATAATGTCATGTTTTATGGATAAACCACTGTTTTATGATCAAACTGACATTTACTGAGGGAGCCCTGGTTGTAACACTATAACCAGAATATGGTGTCAGAGAGGAAATACAGTCCGCAGGTCAGTCATACTGACAGTCACGAGTCCTTTAGGGGAGGGAAGCTGGCACTGAGTCCTGGCAGATGGTGGCACTCTGACTCATGATTCTGAGATTGTGACAGTGGCAGAAAGATCTTAAGCACATTTTCTCATGTCTGGTACTTAAGCAACAAATTTGTGATTTTTGTATTTCTATTTGACACAACTTTAAACATAAATATTTTGCTCCATTAAATTTATTTATAAAAAGTTTTCCTGGAAGAGGTGAAGGATGGCGTGTTAGTTAGGTGTAATCTACTTTACAAACTGACATCTTCTTCAGTCAGAATAAGGTTTCCCTGACAAATGTCTAAGCTTCATGTGACCTATACTCAACTACTATCAGTCACATAACTAACAAATTTGGCCCTTTAATACTCCAAGTCTGCAAAAATAATGATAATGACCTGCATGAGCTTTGATGAGGAACCATCTTTGTATTGGGTGGACCGAGTGCCCTTGAAAACAATAAGGGGATGTGAAAAATTACTTTCTTGGAGCAATTTGTGCAATATTCCTGAGATGATACAGCTCATTATACATTTTGCAGCTAGGTAACCTTAAATTGCACTGTTTCTGTAATGTGGCTGATTAATGTATTTCTGCATTACAAATGCCTTAGAGTGGAAGAAATAGGATGCTAAATTAGTTTGAGATTAGGTTTTATAATAGGTTTCACATGAGGGGCATGTCTTTGTTCTTTACGAAACCCCAGCTCATTTAACACTTCCATCACAGTCAACAGTTCATGAGGTGGAGAGAGATTTGCGGTAAATTGCGGAGTTTAGCCCATTTAGCCTTAGGGATTTTCTTGGAATGTAGTTTCAGCTCCAAATGAGAGATACTTCTTTGTTCTAAATCGAATCTTAGAAATCCTCTCATTAAAAATCTGCTTGCACTGACTTAGCTGTATATCACAGAAGTTTTCATTTCACCATGAATGTTTATCATGATATACACGGGGCACCCTTTTCTGTGTCAGAGATAAGTGTTCCAGCAAATCCATTAAGTCTTGTCACTTGTCAGAATCCAGGAAAAACAATTAAAGATGCAACACACAGGTCAAACTGCTCTAGTAGTCAATTAAGCAACCACTGTGTTTGGGCCAAGGAACAATAGATTCATTAGGAAATGTCAGTGCAAGAGGGATGCATGCGAAAGACATTTAAATGATCTACAGAACAGGAAGCTGAGGACTCAAGGGAATGAAAAGACAAAAGGAAAAAACATCTGATAGGGGAAAACATGCACAGAACAAAGTTTGCTCCATTTACTGTAATTATTAAACAATTAAAACCACTTAGATCAAAAAAGAAAAAGCCACCGTGTAACTGAACTCACTGTGGTGAGAAAAAGGCACATAGGATACAAGGGATCCACGAGAACCTCAGTAAACACAAACCCAATCTTTTGGTGCATCTCTCGAAAGTCAGCAGTCATATACATAGACACAACCACACGTTCATCTACATGCAAACAGACAACACAACCACATTCTTAGCATTTGGCTAAGTCACAGACAATTTATGGCCACTGATGCTGTTGTCATGCTAGTGCATGAAAATGGATGCCCGTAACAGTCCTTGCAGTCAAACAGTTACCATGAATCACATGCTCAGTCCATTAATGCTGCTTGTCAGTGGTGTCTACAATGCAATCAAGAAAGTGTGGAGTATTGAATCATGTGAAATAGTGTTCACTAACAATACTTGGCATGACATTGATTTCAACCAACAGTCCTTCAGCCCTCAGGCACCAGGATGTGGCTCATTGATGAGACACTTTATCAGGGGTGAAAAAAAGGTTAGCTGAAGTGATTGATAGCCTCTTTTATGAGAGGTAATACAGATGATATTACTTGTACATTTTGAATGCTCAATCTCAATGACATTTGCTCCAACTGGGTCATAAAAGGTCAATATAAGAGCGAGACTGAGTAATAACGCCCTTATTTTTGTATGTTTGAATGTTATGCCTCTATAAAACATGCCATGCTATCATATATGTGATGACAGTGGAAGGGAGAACCCTTGGGGTACAATGTTGAAGCTCTTTGGATTTTGTTTATGGCTGCTGTGTAAAAAGAAAGGAGCTGCCACCTATGAGTAGCCAGGGCATGGATTATTTATTGAAACATTGATCCGTATAGTGTAGCTGTAAAGTTATGTGTCATTAATCTAGCTCACTGTTTTTTGAGAAATAAATGTAAAGAATTTGCTAGAACAAGTGTAAAAGATGGGATTAATCCTTTATTAATTTGCTAGATGTGTAACTTTAAGAATGGCAATGTGGCAATATCCATCTGTGGGTTGGTCGGCCCACTGCTTTTGTTCAGACAGAAATCAAAATGACTTCAACAGCTAGGCTGGATTTCCTTAAACATCATGGTCTCCAGATGACACATCCTATTGAATTTGGTGATGCCCAGTGTCAGGGACTAAACAATAAGGCAGAGGACACAGCATTTAAATTTCAAAAAAAGATGGACTTTTATTTATCCAAAACTAAGGAAAAATACAAACAACATCAATAGTAAACAAACTGGGCCCTAAAAGAGGCCAACAAAAAATAAGGAATCTCAAAATACAGCAAACAAACAAATAAACAATATACAGTATTTCTCCCAAACTCCCCCCTTTCCTGTATTGAGCACTTGGTACAGTCCACGCCTAGTGGGAGGTATTTAAGCCTGGTGCTGCCTCAGTCCAATCTTTTTGTTGGGACCAGGAACAAGGTAACTCAAAAAGAAGATTAGAACACATTAGCAATGTATTGACGATACAAAATTAACCAAATGTACATGTTTCATTGATTAATTGTGTATGTCTAAACCTAATGTCAAATCAAATGCCTAAAATCTACCTACAACTTAAATCTACACATGTGAATAAAGAAAACTAAATGAAAACAAAAGAACATTACCTAGCTAATTCCACTGCTGGTGGTGACTTAGGCCCTCACATGATGAAGGCCGGGGCTGAGGCCTTCACACCCAGACTGTGCTTATAGTATCACCACAAGAATGATTTGTGATTTTGCAGTAAAATTTCTCACCCCATCACAAGTTAAATTGTCCAGTAAATACAAAACTAATAATATTTCCTTCAGTGACAGCTGTTCTTTTTGTTTAGTAGTAATTAGCAAAATTATCCAACAAGTCCTCCAACCTATATGCCCCATATGGTCGTTTGTCCCTTCCCATCTCCTGAAACAGTGCTCCTACGGAAGAGGAAGAACTCCACCAACAAGTCTATTTTTGAAAGTGTAACCCAGTATCATGAATTTGCCTCAAGGGGTTTTACAACTTGTACAGCACATGACACCCCCTGTCCCTAGACTGTCAAATTGAATAAGAATATTTGATAGTTGACATATCTGACAGTCTAAGGACAGGGGGTGACATATGCTGTACAGACTGTAAAGCTACACTATGATTGTGAACATGTATTTTTCCATGATTAGTCAAATCATTGCTGTGTCTCAGAGTTACTAGCATAACTGTAGGCAGTCTTCTTTCAACAAATCCAAAATGAAATGAGAGAAAATATAAATTTATGGTAGTTTATTGACAAGTGTAAAGAGATGAGACTTTTTGTCAAATTACTACAAAGTACTACACAGCCTTATATTTGTTTACTGTTTACTTTCCCTTTGCATGGGGATATGTACATGCACATTGAGATCCGCTGTACCAGAAATTCCTCATGTGTCCGACACACCTGGCCAATAAAGCTGATTCTGAAATGCAGAATACAAGAAAGCTTAGTCAGCATGTAAACTATACTGTATAGAGTTTATCATAAATTGGTTAAATTGAACTTCATTTCTTGACAAGATGACTACAGGCACTCAACTAGCTAGTTCTTCATATTTGCATATGCATATTTCTCATCTTGTTCTGCTTACAGTGGCAAATCCACTTCTCAGCATGATACTTAAGGATCCATGCATAGCTAATGCTCAACAGTAAATTACATTAATTGTTTTAAACTTTGACATTTCAGCACAATTATACCTGTCTCAGCGCTGCAGGCAAATGTATTATTGATCAAAATGTACTCTAGTTAAATGATATCCTTCTGCAGCAGAAAAGAAGAGAGAGAGATGGATGCACTGAGAACCTCCTACATTCCTCTCATCTTTCCACCGTTTTGTCACTTTATTCAGTCTATCAAACTGGCGAGGTACGTGACTCGCCTCTCATATGCATGTCTTTGCTAACTGGAATTTCAACCTCTCTGAGAAGTGCTGTCTTGCAAAATGAGCAGATTGAAGACCAGCAATAATGACAAGCACCCGTGAGTCACGTCACAGGTGTAAAATCCCAGTAGACCTTTAATCTTAATTATCTTCCTGGCAGATCTATATACTGCATCTACTGTATGAAATCTTCCTTGAGCTAAAGAAAACACAAGGAACCTCCACCCAACTTCATAGCGCTATGCGTGGCTTTTAGACCTCTTTTAGCTCATTGTGTTGGTGTTTTGATGTGCACAATTACTGACGTTTTGACAAAGGTTTGCTAGGAAAGATTTTTTTTTCTCTTATTTCTCTATCAGTGAATTTCTGTTTTTCTTCCCACTCTAATGTTCCCCATCACTTCTGCCTTCCCACTTCCAAAGTCCCTTTAATCATGGATTGTGACGCTGCCTTCTCTTTACCAATGATGTTTTTGTTTTCCTTTAGTCAGCCAGTTCTTGGATGCGATTCTTCAAATATAATTGTCATTCTGCCTTTCATACCTACTCATGCACAGTGCAACACCTCAATATCACCTCAGTTTGTTAAAAGATTTTCTGAAAGATTAAACTGAGGTTTAGTCTTCCTTCTACTTGCACTGCCACATGCCTTAAGACATCAGGGGACCCGCTCCTATCTGCTGTCTTCATGGGACCACTCTTAATGAAGGTGCCCCACTTTGCCAGTCTTTCCTTGTTGCTAATGTCAATAAATATCATTATACTTCCAACTGATCCTTCCTGATTTCACTAAATGGTTGGTTTTGACCCACTTATATCAATTCCAGTAAGCAGCCATTTCTAGTAAAATGCTTCGATAAACCTACATCTAAATATAAGGAACTCCAAAGTGAAAAATGGAATCTGTGATCTTGAAACTCTGTCCTTTGAAAATAACTATTAGTAATTGTCAGCTCCACACTTCCCTCAATTCAAGAGGAGGTTGATGACTTTGTACTGCCTAATATTACATAATCCTTACTTTGTGAGCCTTTTTTAACTCTGTGTTGGGCCATTTGCATTCAACCGTTTTAAATCGCTATTGAACATTACTGAGGCCAAGTAGTGCAAGCAATAACATGAATAATCCATTGGCGGTTGGCTGTTAGACTGAGAGAATGAAACCTCAATCACCATTACTCAGATGGAGTGAAACCAAGCAGTAGCAGCATCAGCCTTTCCCCCTAGAAAATGAATGTGCTTTGCATATTAAAGTTGTAAACATCCATCTTGCTAAGGCTTGTGCTTGAAAGTATTCAATATCAGTGAGCTTATCTCTGAAGATGTATAATCACTTCATAAAGGAAATCAATGTAGTTTTTTGTGCAAACCAAAATATGCACTTGGCCCCTTAAAGACACTTTTGTAAGTGGGAGAGGAAAAAGTAGTACCACTGAGCTTCAATCACAAAGGTTCTGTATTAAAAATATGATCCAGAGCCATTTCTAAGCCTTTCTTAGGCCTGTTCCAAACAATCCTCAGCAGGGGTAAAATATGCTAAGGTTTAGAATGATCTACCATTTTGAAAACATCCAATTAAGAAAATATAAAAACCAAATATAAACTCCTAAAAAAGTTAGTGTTATTACTCAACAGCTTAAAACACAATGCAACCATTAATTGCCTAATATGTTAATCTTTTGGAATCCCTCTACTCTGCGCTGGATCTTTGTTGGCTTCACATCATAAAACTGGGCTTTACATTTAACTTGTAAAACTTGTGAAGGGATAAATCTTTCCTAAAACACAAAGTTTTCCTCACTCACTGCATGATTCCTTGACAAGAAAAATGGATACATCTATCAGCATCTTAGCATAGAGACCAATTTAAATTAATCTTGAAGATCTATTGCATATTCAAGGCACATCTGTCAATCTGCCTGTGAAATGAAGAGCCAGAGGCTACTGACCCAAACACAAATCTTCTCTTTTTTGGTCATCTAACAACAGTGTCTGAAGTCTCCACACTCTCAGGTGCATTTCTTATTTTATCTTGCTGCTACCTTGTAGGACACGGCTCATGCTCAGTCTTTGTGTGGAGTGAATGGGCAACAAATACCGTTTATGCAGAGTGGTTATGATGGCTGATGCAAAAGACTTAACACAATCAGACGTTAAGAGTTCCAAAAGATAACTTTAGTAGGTTCACTTCCATAGAGGCATAATTTAATTACACCAGAAATAATTTGTTCTCAACATAAAATGTATTTGTAACAAACCATATCGCAAGCATACATATTTTAAAGATACAACATACTGTATCATAAGCACTATCTGAAATGTTTGAATCATCTGAAAGTTCATAAAATACTTATTTCCAATTCATTTAATATACTGTATATTTAAATATATACTGGCTTTGCAAATATGGTTTTGTGATATTACAACCTTTGATATCTCAAACCAGCAGTGCAAACTTGTTGATAAATCTATCTTTGTTTGAATGACTGGAAAATAACAGTTCCAATGATAGAAGAATAAGCGTTCTGGTAAAATTAATATGACTTGCATACTACTACAATGTACAGTAAGTAATGCTCATGTGTCAGAGTATGTGAAATGATAGCCTCATGTTAAAGCTACAGAATGTACTGTAACTTAAGGTAGCACTAGCATGAAACTCCTGATTAATCCACTCTGCTCCGCCCAGCGCGCTCCCTCTCCCTTCTCCCTCATGCTTTAC